AAAGCAACAACGGACAAAAAACAACGTGTTTGTCAGATAATTTCTGAAATAGGTTAGCAGTAAGGAACATTTTATTGTGGTCTAGTGATTTTTTGTCATTGACAATTTATTTCAGTTGCTTCAGTCTCGTGTCACTCCTGATGATGATGAAATAAAACAAAATAGAGCAATCATTCTTTGAAAAACACCACAGCAATACATCCAGGAAAACGAAATGTCCAAGAAGTACCTCATCCAAGTAGTCAATAAAGTGACATATTGTCATACTCATAAAGTGATGAATTTTGCAATTATCACCGATACTTAGTACATGTATGTCCAGATGACCATAACAACTTGGGCTTACTGCACCACCACCAAAAAGTACTAAGCCTCATAATTAATTATCATGTCTAAAACTTCGACTTGAAAAATTGTCAACAACTGTCTAATTGGTTTTAATTAAATACATGCATTTAAGCTGTGAACAACTCGCACAGGACCACGTCCATAATGGCAAGGGACTTGATGCCACGCTTGACCAAGGAGTTATATATAAGCAGGAGACGCAACACTTGAGGGTGGTGCCCGTTTGCCGCTCTCTGATTGGTCGAAATGTATAGAGTGCTGAGTACAATGGGAGGCAAGGAGTGTAACGCCCACGCAAAATTATCCTGGCACAGGACATCCTCGAACGGAAAACATGCCTTGATTATCTCGTAAAACTTCTGGGCTTGACCAAGAAAAAATGGTTATGTCTCCCTTAAATGAACCTACGCGCAAGATAGGTCTTAAATACCCTCTACCAGGGCGAGTGATAGATTTTTTACAGATATTCACAGATATGTCTCTAGCTAGATAGATGGTCATTGAGGCTCTGTTCTCACAACTTTTAGATCGATCTATCACCGCGGGGAGTCTCACTAGATTACTGTCAGATAATCCCCCTTAAGTGTCCGTCCCCGCCTACTACAAGCTTTAAGGGGTAATTAACTTTCGTGTCCGCCCGGCTGACAGCTATTTAGCGTGAACCCCTAGGGAGTTAGGTCGATCCAATGTAGGTCGATCTAATCTATGAGAATGGGGTGTTAGGGATCAACTCACCCTGTTGAGGAATCCCATGTGGAAACAATTATCTCTGCGCGCGCGCCAAAGGCTTTGTACTTGCTCTGCATGAGCTGAGCTTCACAACGATGTGATAACTGCTTGTTACGCAACCAGTCTAAGGCTTTTTTATCTGTCACAGAAGAGCAAGTGATTGAAGTCAGAGTAATTAACTGTCTTGATTGCTGTCACACAGACTTAGACTGGACCTGCTAAGTGGCAGTGCCTGAGCAGTTATGCAAACAATTATCAGCCATGTAATCAGCCTTGAGATTTCTCAACAGGGTGAGTTGAGCCCTAAGTGGGTTCGATTCCCGGCCGATGCAAGTCTATTTTTATACTGATCTCTACCAGAAAAAGTAAACCATGCGCGCGAATCACAAAACGTATTCTCTTCATCAGCAACTTCCCCAAGAATAAGACTTCAGGACACGACATCTCAATACAGTTCAGTAAATTTTCTTTGCTTTGTCTATAAAATTAAGCGTAAAAAGTTTTATGTTTGAGGGCGTTTGTCTTACTTGCTTTTCTGACTTATTAACTTAATCCATTTGTCTGTGTGTGTGTGTGTGTGTGTGTGTGTGTGTGTCTGACAGAGAAATGCTGTTTTTCTTTTTTTTTTCATTTTCATGTATACTCGTGTTGATTATCAAAAATGTTGCCTCTCTAGACATGCAGTCGCGCCGGAAACAGCATGAAGTATTCGAAAAGCGTATGTGTGAGTTACCTTTCTGATAAATAATAATTATTCTATGTACAAACCAAACGAAATAAGAAACATTTGCCAGGTAGGTAGCGGTTGATTATTGTCGAGCCAAACTGTTCAGTTGTAAAGGGTTTTACTGTCAGCCTTACAATACACAGATGACGTCCCGCACACACCTGTGAATACATAACTTTATTCGAAATTGGCATCTCCATAAAGTAAAAAATTAAAAATGCGTTAATTTTGTAGAATCAGTTTGTGTCATTTTGTGTATGAAAAAATAGAATTTAAAGAGCGGTGCATGTCAAATTGATGTGGAGAGTTTTGAACTTTTCAACCGTGCCGTAAGCTACGGGAGGTTGGGGCAAGGCGGCAGTCTAGTATTTTCTTTCAGTCGATACTGGATGAGTATAGATGAGAACCATAAGCGTTGCAATTAACCAGTTTCCTAGCGTCAACCTTGTAAACCTTCCAAGCCCCTTTACCCCCCCCAAAAAAAAAAAAATAAAATAATAATAAATCTCTCTCCAACACCCTGAAGTTATTGAACTACTTTTTTATATAAGTACCTCAAACATTTGGAAACACTTAAATCATGAAATGAAGTAAGAAAGCATTGGAATACGAGTAATCTGTATGCCCATAAAAAGTCAGAGAGGGGGGGGGGGGTATGTACCGGGGGCTCTCGTCCAGGAGCCCTTCTCAGCCTTCTAGCTGTTACAAAATTCTTCCGAAGGGTGGGTCCAGCATTGATTCATAATAAAAATAAATTTGTTTTATTTCGAGGCGAAAATTACATACGGTTGCCTAAATATATTATTTTTTATCAAATAATAAAAATTAAGATAGCTTTAGTCATCAATATCACCACTATTTGAAATCTCTGATGTGGACATCACTTCCGGACAGCCTTATATTACTACAGGCAATCTAATTTGCATATAAGAGAAAAATGCATTTTTCCTGGTTTTGGGTTGTGTAAAGTTGTTTATATTATTTTCATAAAAAGCAATGTCTCTTTACACTTACATCTTTCCAATTATTTGATCGACACGCCCTGTTTATTAATTTATTTATATAAATTATAAACTTTCATGTCACAGGTGTGAATCACGCTATCACGTCCAAGTCATAACATTGTTAAACTAGCGCCAATAACTGCAGTGGAGAATGTAGGTCAATTGCCTGTGCAATTCTCCCATAGCATTATTGATTTTTTCCGAAGTGGAACATTTTAGGGAGAGGCGGACGAGAGAGAGAGGTATCCATTGAACCGCAGAATAAAAAGAGAGCGTGGGGCTGCTATAATCAGAGTCTATTATTATCTTTGAGAAGAGTGTAAAAATAGCACACTTTTCCAGTTTCACTGTGTAGCACTTTGCAGATAACAAGATAATTCTCTATGCCATCTGTCTCTCCCTAACAATTTATTGACCACGTTAACTGTTCAACTCCCGGCAGAAGATGAACCAGCCAAGGATAGTTTTGATACACAGGTGTAGGAGCCGCACCCTGAACGTCAGATCTTAATCGCAATTAACCCTTGCCGTTTCAAGTAACTGGAAACGACAAGGGTATGCCATACATGTAGTTTAGATGTTTGTTTCAAGTTATCGCTGACGCTCAGGGTGAGAAGCCGGGATAGGGGCGAGACGGGAGGAGGGGGGGGGGGCGCTTAACCCTTTCACAACCAACTGCGTCACACTGAGCAGGGAGCGAATGCGTTCCCTCAGCACTAACCAGTCAATTTGTTTAAGAATCATTCACTGTTATTATGCATTTTCAAACTTTAATTAGGGTGTATTTGTAACCCATGAAAACCACTTTTTATTTACCCGAGATGCGTCAAACATTCTATTATTTAGCGTGATCCGTGAGGTCTATTCCATGACACGTAGTAGGAGCCGGCATGTGGGGCGAGA